GGCGAGTCAGTGACCGAGGGGTATGGGTTAAGTTTCGTCACTTGCCCACGGGCGAGGAACTGTGGTCGGGGTCACTTCACTTGTCTCCAGGGACCACGCAGCTTGTTTTTGAGGAGCAGCTCTCGCGATTCCTTTCTGCTCTCCCTCGTACAGCTTCAAGGGTGGTGCTGCAAGGGGACTTCAACACGTCTTTCGGATGGGCGCGAGGGGAGCAAGGGGACGTGGCTGTGGGCCATACCGGGAAAGGGGTTCTGTTGTTTGATGCTCTTGTCAAAGCCTCTCTGCAACCCGCCGCCCCGCTCAGGCACATGCAGGCACTGCCGACCAGCCGACCACGGCAGGAGCACAGGGAAGGGTCGAGCATTGACATGTTTGCCAGTCGTGGGTTGTTGCATGAAGGGGTTAGGGTTCATGTGGATTCCTGTTACACGATCAATTCGGATCATGAGCTACTGGAGGGACGTTTCGCGTTTCGAGGGCATCGCACTTTCACTCGCCCACCCACGGGGCCGAGGGTTTGGAAGGGAGGGGTTGACATCATCGATCACCTGACCCATGGCCGGCTAAAGGAGTTGGCTAGGGTCTGTACGAAAAGCCTCGGCCTAGCAGGGCATACAGGGACGATGAGGAAACGCGGGCTGCTTTCCGCAGGGCTAAGGTGTCAGGGACCAGGGTCGCATGGAAGGCCGCACTTGGCCTTGGGCGTGAGGCCAGGCGTAGGTGGGAGCAGCAGCGGATCGCAAAAGGGCTTCTCAAGGGGACTGGGAGGCTTTCAGGGAAGTTCGCATGCAAGGGCAGTCGTCGTGGGATGCAGCCTACGCCGATGCCCAGACGGTCGACCCTCATGAGTCGGTCGCCATCTGCGCTCTCTCTACGCGGCGCAAGGGGGCACGGTGCCGGCGTACCCCGCGAAAGGTGAAGCGACAGCCTTCACGGTGGAAGAAGTGACTCGTGCGGTTGGGCAAATGAAGCCCGGGAAGTCGGTCGGGCTTGATCTCAGTAGCAAGGAGTTCTTTCAAGGGCTCCTCGCCACAGAGGGAGGGTCGGGGCACCTGGCAGAGTTTTTCACGGGTATCCTGGTGAGCGGGAACATCCCCGAGGACTGGAACACAGTGATCCTCGTCATGTTGGCTAAGATCCCTCAACCTACCCTTCCCCGCGATCTCCGGCCGATTGCTCTTGGGTCCTGTACCTCGAAACTTTTTGCCCGGCTTTTGCTAAACCGCTGTCAACATCTCTTGGGGCCGCGATCAGCGACCCAATGTGCGCGTGCACAGCGACAAACGACCGACTACATTTTCGGCTTGTGGCGAATGGTTGAGTTGAGTCGTGAGTGGCGAGTCCCCATGACAATGGTGAAAATCGATGTAACGAAAGCCTTTGACACTGTCGACCGGGCTCGATTACTTGACAAGCTGCACAGCCGCCTGGGGGACACGCACGAAATGCAGTGCTGGGCTAAGCTTTTGTCGGACACGAGGGCTATGCTGGTCACGCCGTGGGGTGTTTCAGGGTTCATGGTCGAGAGAGGGATTCGACAGGGCTCGACCGAGAGCCCCTGCTTCTTCTCCCTTCTGATGGAAGAAGCGGTGGAGGAAACCTCGGCCCTGCACCGATGGGAGCATCAACCCCGAATCTTTCCGGACCTTGCCCTTGATAACGCCCTCTTTATGGATGATGGAGTGTTGTGGGGGCCGACCCCAGCCGAAGTTGCCCTCAAACTGCAGCAACTGCAAGGGGTCCTGCGCGCGTACGGCTTGGAGTTAAACGTGCGGAAATGCCAACTTTACTGCACGCCGGACACAAAGGGTCCGCACTGCATCAGGGTTGGGGGCGAGGAGCTGTGGGGGTCGCCCGCCATTGAAGTCATGGGGCTCCAGATGCGCAGAGGGATGAGTGTTGGGGAATTGATCCAGCCGCTGCTGGCGCGAGCCAAGCAGAAGTTCTGGGGGGCTAAGCACCTGCTGAGGGCTCGCACTCCCGTCAAGGGTCGCATGCAACTGTTCCAGAAAGTTGTGTCAGGAGCAGCTCTTTGGTGCCTCGCTGCCATCCCGCCGGACCGTGGGGCCATGGGCCTCCTCAACAGTGTCCAGGCCATGTTAATCTGCTGGCTTCTTCGGTTCAGCCGCTACCCTCATGAAACTTGGGTCCAGTTCAGGGTCCGGGCGGTTCGGGGAGCTCGGCAAGCCCTGCACAATTCAGGATGCGTAAGATGGTCGACGTTGTGGTTGGAGAGATGGTGGAACTACTCGGGGCATAGGGTCCGTACGATGTTGGCACCGGCACCACCGATTAGTGCACTCCTTGACGAGTTCAGAAGCCTCCCATGGTGGCGTGCCCAACAAAAGTTGAAGCGTATCTCACATGGCAGACATTTCCCTAGACTTACCCTGCTTGAGGAAGGGATGAACGCTGTTTGCAGAGGGCCTTGGCGTGCATGCACACACGACAGGGATTCGTGGCGAGGGTTGAGGGCTACATGGATCGCCGCACAGGATCTCCCGTGGGGTTCAGGTCGACAGTTGGCGTTGCCGGATTGGGCATGAGGTGACGGGCTGCCAGGGGCATCTGAATGAAGGGTTGTGCCTGACATGTTTGCAGCCTGGCTTAGCACGTGAACTCTAGCTGTCCTAGCCGTGGCCACGCAATGGGTTTTCATTTTCATTTCGTAATTTCGGGCCTGCTCGGTGTGGCTTTGGGCTGCACAAGTGAGAGGCCGCCGGTTGGTAACTATGCCGACCCCAACACAGCACCTCGTGATGACGTGCTCGGTGCCCGCATGGGCCTTCAGGACGTGATGTTCCCGCTCAATTACATGGTCCGAGGAGCGAGCAGAAAGCTCAGCGGTGGCTCTGAACTTCCAGGAAATGGGCCCAAGGCAACCCCCCCATCTCGGCTCGAGAAGGGGGGGTTGCTTTCGCCAGGAAATGGGCCCAAGGCAACTGCCCCGTTGCCCCCTGTGGCTCTCCTTTTGGCTGCCCCTCGCAGCCCAGACTGGATGTTCGTGTCGGCCCTTGCGGGGCTCACCCCGACCGGCGCACAGCCAGTGGATGCCCTCGGCAACTGGCCTCCCTTCTGGTATGTGAACCAGCAGGCTTCCGCAAGTGCCCTCATCGCGGACGGGTCGGAGCCCAACAACCTCCTCCGTTTCCTGCTCCACTTGATCCAGGCGAGGGGGGATTGGGAGTACGAGAGGTTCGTACAGCTCACGCTCGCAGACGTAGAGCAGTATGTTGGAGGGACTCTCGACTCCTACATGCCCTTGCCCTTCATGAATGATGACGAGAGACAATGGTGCAGATATGTGGAGGGATGGTTCCATGAGGAATACCTCGACATGTGGTTCCCACATGAGCAACTCGCCCTACAGGCACAGGTAGGCCACGATGAGTTTGTCCTGGACACCTTGGATCCCCAACCAGAGGAAAACGAGGCCGCGGAAGCACGTCGAGTGGTTTTCAATCGCAAGCGAAAACTGCCCGACACCATTGCTGAGCTGCACGGGGTCGCCAGGGTTGCCGATGACGACAGGGTTGCTGCACAGGCTGGTGTGGCCGGGCCCTCTTCGGGAGCCGGGTCCTCCGGAAGTTCGAGCTCGTCCTCAAATGCGACAAGCTCCGCGGCTACAGGGGTCAGGGATTGCTATGACGTGAAGGGAGCCTGGATGCAGAGGGTTATGGACTTCCTCCGCGAGACACGCACGGAGGACGTGGACGGATGGGCCTTGCACCTGCTTAGGGGCAGGATTGCAGGGCGTGAAGACAGTGCCTATGTGCGGCGAGCTCTCCTCTTCTTTCGCGAAGTGGACCGTAGCGTGCCTGTCGGTTTCGTTCATGGGGCCGAGGCGCCTGACTACGTCGCCGACTGGGCCATCCGTGCAGAACGAGAGCTCCATGACCTGCTTGCTGAGGGACCCCGGCCGGAGGACGAGGACGTGACGTCGTTGGTGCAGGGTCAGGGTCGCCACAGGGTGAGAAGTCGGACAGAACCAGCAAAGGCCTGCGCAAAATGCAGCCCCGCCGGCGGGCACATCCGGCCGCGGTGTGTGCCGGACCAGAGGGTCAAGCTCGCGAGGTCCTCGTCCAGTCCAGGAGCCCGCGCACCCGCCACCACCACCGCCGCCGCAGACGCCTCCGGGGCCTCTTTCCATGGAGGCGGCAGTTGAGGTCTGGATTATTGTTCTGGGGCTCGCCTCTGAGGAGGAAGTGGATGCACATCCGGGTCGACTCCTGCCGGAACATGTCGAGGGGTCGATTTTGGAGACACTGTTGGACCACGACCTCCGCGATCGCCTCACGCTCGTCATGGCCTTCCCGCAATTGGTGCACCGCCTGATGAGCGCCGTCGGCCGGGTCATGCAGGCGTCGGTGGAGACGGAGCGCCGGCGGCGTGATGACGAGAGGGAAGGGGATGAGACATCCTACATGCAAGTGGGCAAAGGGCGTGCAGGGGTTGAGCGACTGATGGTGACTACGGAAAATGATTGGAGGCTCTTCATCTTGGATCTCCGTGCCAAGTTCGAATGTATGACAAAGCAGGCGAGGCGAGCAAACGCGATGCAATTGCAACGCTGGCTGCATCACAGGTGCACCAACACTGCAGCAGGGTTTTGCTTGGGGCACATGGGAGGGCGTGTCGCCGAGATGCTCTCGGTGCTGGTCGTGGCGATTGACAGCGCCGGACCCATTGAGGTCGATACGCCGCCTGATCACGCCGGGGTGCCCTCCAACGCGTGGTGCCAGAGAACGTGGTTACAGGTGATGCACTTCCTGCCATGCCACCCGGGGAGCAACCAAGGGCAAGGCAGGCCTGAGGAGACAGGTCAGCCGGCGCCAGTCCTCTTCATGAAGCCTTTACCTGAGGATACAGATGAGGAGGTTATGTGGGACTGCCCGCCGCCACGCAGATGCCATGGACGTGACCTCGACGCGTTGATTGAGGAGCATCAAAGGGATAGGGCTGAGCTTGAGGAGGAGGAAGAAACGGCGGCGGCGGCAGCCATGGAAGAGGAGCTCCGGGAGGCCTCGGAGGTCAACGCCGCGGCCCTCGCGGCCGGTGCCGATGCGCTGCCGCCACCGTTCGTGGATGGGGCTACCTACCAAGCGTGGGAAGACTGGGCCATGGCTACGGAGCTCAATGAGGCCCCGTGCCGAAAGCGGCGGTGGATGCAAGTTGAAATAGCGACTGGGAGCCACGATGCGCCGAGGGTTGCGAGGGTTGTCTCTGTGCCTGTGCCGCCGCCGGGAATACCTCTGACCATCACGGCCACGATCCACGAGGTGAACGCCACAGCAGACGCCCCCTCCACGGTGGGAGCGTCGGAAGCTCCTACGGTCGCGGTCCCCCCGGGGCCACCGGCTACAGCTTTGGACGAGGAGACGGACCCTTTGTTTGGGCTCAGCATGGAGGAATATTTTGAGGTCTATCGTCTCTGGAGCACGGGGGCACTCACAGGGGATCAAGTTCAGGCTCGCCACGGGGCTTCGGTTCGCGAGTTGATCGAGACTCAGTGGATGGCAGAGGGAGGGGCATTTGACACGGTGCCCAGCACGGGGTTGGTGGTGCCTGTGAATGAACAGCCCATGGATGGACATGAGGGACCAGGGTCGAGGGATGAGATCACGAATACGGGAACGAAAGAGGATGACGAGAACGCCTGATCTTAAGGTCTTGTGACGGGTGGCAGAGACGTCAGCAGTCGCAAAAAGGTGCTTAAAAAAAAAAAACCCCTAAACCCCTAAACCCTAAGCCCCTAAACCCTAAACCCTAAAACCCTAAAACCTAAACCCTAAACCCCTAAACCCTAAACTGTGTCTGAGGACACAAAAACTGCAAGCAGCTGAAGAAGATGTGCCACAAGAGGCGTGTCTACGAGGCCAGCCTGACGATGATACTTAGTTTAGGGGGTTCCTTTTAAAAGGTCTATAAGGGTACTGTTGATACTTAGACTAGGGTTCCATTGAAGGGGTCTATAAAGGTACTATTGATACTTAGTCTAGGGTTCCTTTAAAAGGGTCTATAAGGGTACTATAACATCGGGGCCATTGATATTTAGACTAGGGCTTTGGGGCCCAGTATACTATATTTATAATAAGGAATCCCCAAAACGGGAGTTTCCGAAAAAGTACCCTAAATAGTAGGATCCTTAGTATAAGGACCCCAGAATAAGGTACCCCTAATTTTCGGAATCCCCAAAATAGTAAAACCCTAAACCCTAAGCCCTAAACCCTAGCCTTTTCAGAGAGCGGATGCTTCCTCCGGAGAAAAGGAGTTCAAAAAAAAACCCGAAACCCCAAAACCCTAAACCCTAAACCCTAAACCCTAAACCCTAAACCCTAAACCCTAAACCAAACAACGTGGCCATGGCCATGCGAGCCTCTCCCGACGGAAGCCCCCTTGCTCCTACCGAATACAGTTCAGGGTTTAAGGGTTTGAGGGTTTTCAGGGTTCAAGGGTTGAAGGGTTGAAGGGTTTAGGGTTTTCAGGGTTCAAGGGTTTAAGGGTTTGAGGGTTTTCAGGGTTCAAGGGTTTAAGGGTTTAAGGGTTTAGGGTTTTCAGGGTTCAAGGGTTTAAGGGTTTGATTTTTTTTAGGATTCAAGGGTTTAAGAGTTTGAGGGTTTAGGGTTTAGGGGTTTAGGGTTTGGGGCTTCTAACTTCTCTGTCTATCTATCTATACATCTCCGCCTGTGTATCTATCATTTAAACTGTTGCAATGTAATTTAACGTAACAGACTTTATTGTAAGGTAAGGTAATGTAATGTAAAGAACCGTAACCTAATCTAAAGTAATGTATAGTCCCGCCATATCCGGCGTAGTCTAGCCTTCTTATCCAAACACGCCGACGCATGTATGCCTGTGCATGTATGCAGCCGACACGCCCGCGAGGTTTGCACTTCCACTTGCCACACACCCGAAACCCTAGACCCTAAACCCTAAACCCCCAAACCCTAAACCCTAAACCCCAAACCCCAAACCCTAAACCCTAAAGCCTACCCGCGAGGTCTGCCCTTCGACTTGCCACAGCACCTGTCTGCTGGATGGGGGCGGAGACTGGGCTCTTGTTAAGGGGCTTAAGTTAAGGTACCATAATAAAGAAACCATATTCTGATTTACTTTAGATCCATCCCCATTATGGCAACTTTAAGTACCCCTAAAACCTATACCTTAAACCCCAAACCTTAGCAAGAATCCAGGAGATGATGCTTTGGAGGAGTTGGTCCAGCCCCAGGCGCTAAGGACTTACTTTAGGGACCCAAAAAAGCACATAAACAAAAACATTTTTATAGGGAGATCCCTAGCTTATTGGGGTTCTTTATAAGGGAGATCCCTATCCTCATTTTGCTTATGTGCTGTCTTGGGCCCCTATTACCATAGCCATCTGTAGAATGGTACTTGTCATCCCCCCTATATTCCCCATATCCCCTACAATAAGTAAGTATACCAGAAGATTCACCAAAGACCCTTATCCTAATGGTTACTTCCATACCTTTCTTCGTTCAGGGCCTAGCTGTCACGCACAAGCGTTGAAGGCTCAGCGTTGAGATCAGCCGCACCGGGGGGGCGGGGGGTGTTTCAATACTGGAGGGTCATCGTGACAAACATCCTGTTCTGTAGGGTATGGATCAGAGGAGTTGATGTTTTCCGAAACTGCACTCCGAATTCTGAACCCTAATCCCTCAACCCTAAACCAGGTTCTAAGCAAACTCCCAAATGCCAAAGCATTCCTGATCCAAAATTCCAACCTAAGACCCGGCCCGAAGATAGGGATCTCAATGCTCAGTAACCCCCCTATAATCCCCATCGTAGTATACTATAACATTTAGGGTTTTAAGCACTAAATTCTGAAGCAACCCGAACACGTTAGTATTTAGGGTATGTTCTGGGCTTTGGATTTTGGATGAGCTTAGCTTGAAATCCCAAGGTACGCAGGCGACGTGGCAAAAGCAAATATATAATTTGTGGTGAAGTTGCAACACAGAATGCTTGACATGGCTGCGTCGCGTTTTGCGTTTTGGGTGTGTTGGGGGGCGCGGTCCCACGCAGATGATGCGGTCGCTGCGCGGCGAGACACCCTGAAACCCAAATCTTAAACCCCAAACACAAAGCCCAAAACCCTAGAAGTAGAAGCTAAAGCAAAGGAACCCTAAACCATAAACCCTAAACCCTAAAGCACCCAAACCGAAGCTCTAATCTTCGCATGGTAGGCTCCATGGAAGAAAGCAGTGGCGAAGACTGCAGTCCAGGACTGGCAAGGGCTTACCTTGTGCTCAATACTTGGGAGTGCATGGGTGGTTATAAGTGGGGGAAACAAGTCCCCTAATATGGCTTATAAGTATGGTTACCCTACTTATAACCCCACTTATAACTACCTATGAACCTCCAAGATTTTTCTTGCGTTGGGGTCTGTCGGGGGGGGGGGGCGGGCGGCGGGGGGCATCAATCTTCGTTACAAACAGATCGCGGTTATTGCAGCTGCAGTACTGCTGCTACTACTACTACTACTACTACTACTACTACTACTACTACGACTATTACTACTACTACTACTACTACTACTACTACTACTACTACTAGTAGTATTACTACTACTACTACTACTACTACTACTACTACTACTACTACTACTACTACTACTACTACTACTGCTTCTACTACGACGACAACAACTGCTGCTGTTTTCACTACGACGACTACTATTGCTACGGCGACGATGACTGCTACGCGACTACAACGACGACGAGCACTATGTTTGCCACTACGACGACGACTGCTGCTCCCGCACCGTCACTATAAGTCACTGCATCGAACAGCAACAAGTAACCACACTCGCCGGAATCCTCAAGTCGTTTGCCGGATATAGTTCAGTACAGCGTAGTATTGCCGTAGAGTACTATATAGTACAGTATAGTACACGATTCTATACGGTAGTCTGCTGTGCTGTAGTATTCTCAAGTTTTCCATCCAAGACTGTACTTTACTATACTATACCATACCATGCTCTCCTATGCTATGTTCTGCTATGCTGTACTTTATTGTAGTATACTATTTATTTTGGTATACACTTCTAGACTTTACTACGTAGCTGTACTTTACCGTACTTTACTCTGCCATCCTTTACACTATAATTCATGCCATACTGTATATGATACTGCATACTATACTTTGTACCATATGATCTTCTTCCTATACTGTAATGTAATGTACTGTACCGCACGATAGTTTGTTAATAGTACACTGTAATCTTGTACTATACTATACTGTACTTTACGAATACCATCCTATACCATACTGTACTTTACTCTATACTATACTATACTATACTATACCGGCGGTGAAATTCGACACCCGAAGATCTCCCAAAGCGCTGCGACCCTGAGCAAAGGCGCAGGCCTACGCGATGAACGCAATCCGTGCAGCTTAGCTCTAGTGGGGCTTTTGGGGCTCCACGGGTTTAGGGTTTTGGGGTGTCTAGAAGAGTTTCATAGCTTGACATGGGAATTGCTGAGGGGGTTTTGAAAGGGCACTTAGGCCTTCTGTTTTTTGAGGGTTTTTTAGGGATTTGGTTTCTGTGCTTTGTGGCTTCAGGCTCCAGAGTTGCACGGCCTTATTGTCTTGGGGTGACCGCAGGGGCCTGCTTGCACATAGAGTAAGGTTCAGGGTGTGAATTGTACGGGTAATGTAAGATTTTGGTGACGGCCCCTTGAAGCCTAAGCTTGCTTTAGACTCTAAACCCCCTGACCTCTATACCCGAAGCCCAGCCATGGATACGCCAATCTTGGCACATGATGCAAAACTGCTTTTCTCGGGGCGCAGGGAGCCTCCCAAAACCGTAAGCTTGGCCCGAACATAGACAAAGTTTTAAACAAAGGACGTTCATGACAGTGGTGCTCAGGCTTTATGGATTTAGGTTGAGGTTTGGGCGGTCTCTTTCCCTAATCTCTCTGCAAGTACGACACGCAACCAGAAGCCCTTAGCCAAAGCCAACTCCTTCATGCCGCAGTGGGGATGGAAGGTGAAAGCCATGACTTCCTTTGTATGCTAACTTAAGCTGAGTTCCTGAGCAAGAATCCTGCTTGGAGGTTCGTGGGCAGTTATGAGTGGGGTTATAAGTAGGGTAGCCATAATTACAACCCATATTGGGGGACTTATAGCCCCACTTATAACCACCATGAACCTCCAAGTATATGTGCCAGGGTTGGCGCCCTCATCTGCCAATTTGTATACCACCCTTTCCTTGTGGAAACGACACGGCTCCTCTTTCACGTGAGGTTTCCACGTTATTCACAGGGCATTTTGCGGGGCTTTACGAGTTTCAAAGCGCTCTCCAAGGCTGGTTAAACCCTAAACCCTAAACCCCAAACCCTACACCCTAAACACCAAACCCTAAACCCTAAACCCCAAACCCTAAATGGTACAGGTCAGAGGGCTACCATCGAGGGAGAACCCTGAGACTAGCAGACATGAAGCCCTTATAGCGGCACAGGTTCCCGAAACCTGGGTTCTTGTCAAGGGGTTTAATCAAAGTTACCATAATAAGGAAACCATATTAGTTATTTACTATGACTGTAGATCCCTTTGTCGTAACTTAAACGAACTTCCGTAACAAGAATCCAGCAACGCTTCGAGGATCTGCCACGCCCATTAGCAACCAGCCAAGTAC